AGAGAGAGAGAGAGAGAGAGAGAGAGAGAGAGAATTAATCACTGTACATATTTCCAGTGAATTCAGTCCTCCTGAAAATACTTAAGGAAAGGGGTTTGAAGTATGTAAGGCACATAGCCTTATACAGTGGGTCACTGAAGTCCTAAGAAACCATGCCATAAATATTTGCAGTCAGTCTGTTCTGTCTTTTACTGTTTGATGGAGACATAGGAAGGAATGGTAGAGGCATGAAGGGACATCTAGGACATCAGATAAAGTAATTTTGTCACTCAGTGATCTTGGACAAATAACTTCAAACTTCTGAGCCTTAGCTTCCACATTTATAATTGGATTACTAAGTATTCTTAAAATATCAGATAAGTTGAACCTTACAAAACAATGCTTCATTGAATCTTTCTCCATTTTACTCATTCATCAAGTGAGTATTAGCTTTTTTTTTTCTGTTATACCAAGCACCATGTTAGATGCTGGGATTTGGCAGTGAGCAAAACCAACTAACTGATTTTATTGTAAGAAATGACTGAAGGAAGTAAACAGGAATGAGGGTGGAGGAGGGGACAGGTGAGAGAAGGCAGAGCTACTGTTTGGGAGTGGATGGTAGAAAGGCTCCTTTGTGAAGGCATGCTATGTCTCAAAGCTGGAGCACAAGACAGAGGAGCCAGCAAGGACCAAACCATCCAGTCTTAGAGATCTCAAATAAATAAGAGTAGTAGATAAGGGATTTCAAAGGCAAGGAAGAGTCCCAGTTGGGAGTAAATTAAAATCAGACCCCTTGGGGCCAAGTCAAAGTTAGAATATTGAATTTGTTTTGTGTTTAAACATGGATGTATATTGATATTATTTACCTTTTGAAAAAATTCACTGATTTTCTGAATGGTGAGGAGATTGTCAACATTAAGAATGATAAGGGGACAGGGATGTAGTTCCTGGTAGAAGTATGTTTGATTTGCATGTGAGAAGCCCTGACTTTGATCTCTAGCACATACATGCACACATGCACCCCCACAGGCACACCAGCACGCACACACAGACACACACACACACACACACACACACACACTCCTACAAGAAGTGTTTATGTGGTACTTTAAAAAATTCTTTTTGCACCAAGGACTCTTTTTCAGTCTGATGAACTTTCAGTACTTCTCAATATAACATTTACAAATGTATAAATTAAAATTAGAGCTACAAAGAGAAACCCATTGTAGTCAGTTCAAAGACTGAAACATTAAAAATTGTGATGCAGCTGCATGGTGCTTTTTAATTAACACATTAAGAATTTACAGTGAATCTTGCGATTAGGGTACATTCAAAACAGGAGTCAGTGATACTTCGAGATATCTTCAACAACTGCAGTATGATACACATATATCTGTGACTTTTGTAGGTGACAGTTACAAGTATTACTGGTGGTTGTAATCTGCATTTTTAAACATTTATTTTTTTTTAAAAAAAAACACACCTGGAAGGCCTGGAACTTGCTATGTATACCATGCTGGCCTTGAATTCACAGAGATGTGCCTGTTCTTGTTTCAAGTGTTGAGATTAAAGTCCAGCTTCTTTTTGGTGGTTCCTTTGAGGCTAGGTCATGCTGATCTTAAACCCATTGTGTAGCCGAGGCTGGCTTGAAATTCATAACAGGCTTCCTGCTTCAGCCTCCCAGGTGCTTGGCATTATAGGCACAAGCCATGATGCCCAGCTTATATTTGAAGTAAAAGGAAATGTTCAGTTATTTACATGAATTAGCAGACAGATTTTATTTGATTTGCACAGCCAAAGGCAACTGATTTGAAAGTTGCTGTGACA